CCGGCGCCGCAAGGCGGAGGATTAGCCTAGTGAGCCGCGGCGCAGCACCCCCCCCCCCACACACAATTCTTTCTTCTACTGATTTGAAGTAAATTTTTAAGTTTTTACTTATTTTTTTATTTATTTGAAAGGCAGAGAGACAGAGATATTTCTCTGGTAACTCCCCCAGATGCCTGCAACAGACAGGTCTGGGCCAGGCTAAAGCTAGGAATTCAGAGTCTCCCACATGAGGAACAGGAATCCAACTACTTGGGCTACCACCCACTGCCTCCCAGGATATACATTAGCAGGAAGCTGAATACAGAAGTGGACCCAGGACTTGAACCTAGACAGCTGACATGGGATACAGGGGTCCCAAGCACCATCTTAAGTGCTACACCAAATATCAGCTCTGAAATGAATCTTTAATAAAAGCCAAATCTCATATAGTTTAGCAGCTTTATATATACTCTAATCAGTTCTATTAATCTGTGTTTAGCCTGCACTAATGTCACATTTACCAAAAGTATGATAGCTTGAGGATGTGTTTTCTACTCACTAGAGCAAATCTCTTATTTTGTTCTTCTTTCTCAACACTAGGTAAGTTACTCTTGAGAATTTATTTTTCTACCTAAATCTTACAATTATCTTCTTCAGTTACATGAAAAATTCTCCTATTACACTATATTTAATAAGTATCTTTGAGAGGACTAACATTTTTACAATGCCGAATATTACTCACAAGCATTAATTTATTTATATATTTTATGATCTTAAGTAAAATCTTGTAATTTTCTCCATGATATACCTTCTCATTACTTTATTCTTGGGTATTTTATTTGTATCATGAATAGTATATTTTCGCTGTTACATACTGTATTTGATTCATGAAAATAATTAGCATATTTATTTGTTTTTTAAAAATATAAAAGCAGGGCCGGCACTGGGGTGCAGTGGGTTAAAGCCCTGGCCTGAAGTGTCGGCATCCCATATGGGCACCAGTTTGAGACCCAGCTGCTCCTCTTCCCATCCAGCTCTCTGCTGTGGCCTGGAAAAGCGGTAGAAGATGACCCAAGTCCTTGGGCCCCTGCACCCATGTGGGAGACCTGGAAGAAGCACCTGGCCCCTGGCTTCAGAATGGCGTAGCTCCGGCTGTTGTAGCCATCTGGGGAGTGAACCAGCGGATGGAAGACCTCTCTCTCTGTCTCTACCTCTCTGTAACTCTGTCTTTCAAATAAATAAAAAATAAAAAAATATATAAAAGCAATAGAGACATACAATTTTTTAATTAAAACTTCTAAAAATTTTACAGAGGGGCTTACTAACAATCAACAAATCCCTGTTCAATCTATCTCCCCTCTCAGTTTGCCAAACCAAAGATAAAAACCTGTAGATGTGTTTGTTTTAGTTATTCTGGAAAGTACCTTCATTTTTCTTAATATGCTTTTCTTACTAGTTCCTGACTTGATGATCTGAGGTACTTTCTGTTACCGTTCTGCTGCCTCTGGATCTCCTTCCCCTTGAATATGGTTGTTTCACCATCTTGAACTTCTCTGTTGGCTATTTTGGCTACTTTAGTAACTTAGTATCTAAAATTTTGTGCTGCTCTCTCAACTACAGACAGATTTCTATATGTTCTAATTCATGAGGACAGTAATACTACTACTGTTCCATGAACATTTCCTTTCCCCTCTGCCTTTCAATCTGTTAACTGCACTTGTACACTGTCAACATTCTATTCTTAATCAAAATTAATTCTTCCCTGCTTTGCCTAAGGAGTGACTTTAAGAGCTGAAAACCAATATTTAAACTGGTATGATTATTTAATTACTGTTCACTTGATAGCAAAGTTCCACTCATGATTAGATTATCTCATGTTTCTTTAAAGCCTTGATCCACGTGACAATGTCAAATTCCTTTTCTCACACTCCCAGCAACTATTCAATATCATTACACATCCAAGGTTGCTTAATATTTAAAGCATGCTTCTTGCAAAGTTCGAAATGTTTCCTTTTCCCTTTCTGTTTCTCATTGCTTTTTGGGGAGGATGAAGAAATTTGTTTTCCATGTATGCCATCATGTTATTAATTTCCTCTTAGCTTCTTACTCAATCCACCTATTACTTAAAATTCATTTCATTTAGTTTGAGATCCACTTGCTTTCTATTCCAATTTGGAAGATTTGCCTCTCATCTTTACAATTCTCATAAAATATATATTTCTTTAAAATTGTAATTGAATTCTGCCCCCCCCCCCCCCCCCCCCCCGCCTATTTTAGAGGCTGGCACTATGGCTTAGTGGGTAAAGCTGAAATCTGCAGTGCCAGCAACCCATATGGGTGCCAGCTCAAGTCCCTGCTGCTCTACTTCTGATCCAGCTCCCTGCTAATGCGCTTGGGAAAGCAGTGGAGGCCACTGTACCCACATGGGAGACCTGGAAGGAGCTCCTGGATCCTGGCTTCAGAACGGCCCAGCTCTGGCCATTGCGGCCATTTGGGGAGTGAACTAGTGGACGGAAGCCCTCTCTCTTTCTCTTTCTCTCTGCCTCTCTGTAACTCTGCCTTTCAAATAAATTAATTAATTTAAAAAAATTTAGGGGCCAGTGTTGTGGTATAGCTGGTTAAGCCTCCGCCTGTGATGATCAAATCCCAAATTAGTGCTGGTTCGTGTCAGCTACCTCACTTTTGATCCGGCTCCCTGCTAATGTGCCTGGGAAAGCAGCAAAAGATGGCCCAAGAGCTTTGGGCTCTGCCACCCACAAGAGAGACTTGGATGAAGTTCCTAGCTCCTGGCTTTAGCCTGGTCCAGCCCTGGCCATTGTGGCCATTTGGGAAGTGAACCAGTGGATAGAATATCTCTCCCTCTCTGTCTGTAACTCTGCCTTTCAATTAAATAATCTTTAAAAAAAAATATTTACAGCATCCTGTGCCCTTTTTCATTTGAAAAGTTCATTCAATTTTTGTTTTAATTTCTCAAATATTTCTGAGGGTTTTAACACTGTTAGTTTCTGTTCTGCTCCTTAAATTTGTATCTTGAAGAGTTGATTTTGCATTTTGTCTTAGGATTTGTTGTTTATATTGTAAGCTCTCAACAAGTGGTCACTTTTCACCAGACAAGTCTGTAGGCAGAACTGGTTGCTTTAAATCAAAGTGGGTGAGCCAATGGGTAGGAACCAGACATCCGGTCAGGCCCCACGATGACACAAAATCAGTAGTGACTCTAAATATGTACATGCATACAGACATTGAGCAGCAAAGTGAGGGAAGTTTGGAGTTGGCCACCAGGCCAAATGAAAGATGGCAGGCAGTATGCATGTGAACCCTGATGAAGTTCCTTCTGTGACCAGCCTTTCTAACGTGATCTAGCAACCCTCAGTTGTTTTCACTCTCACATGCTATATATTTGCTTCATACCAGGAATTGGTCATGTATTCCTTGTTCACTTGTTTACTTTGTTATAGTCTGTCTGTAAGGCCAGTGCAAATAAATTCTATGAATATGCACTTTGTCTACCATGTCACTGTTATATCCACAATTTAGTAGTCAATCAATAAATATATCCCTTTGGATGAACGTCTACATATTCCTCAAGCCAACTTTATTAACAGATCTTAATTCCACTAAAAAAAAAAAATTAGAGTGAGCACTAACAGATGTATGTAATATAATGCTAATGATATATTTAGGGTAATAATTTTATATAATCATAACTTGTAGACCTAATTATTCAGAGTATACAGTATTTCAGTTTTTCTAGCTTAGGAATACCACATTAGTGCTACACAGGATCATGCCACTAAAATCCAAAAATAAAACAATTTCAATTTATTTTGGTCAATAGCAAAATCCTTGCTATCTGAATGTAAACTCAAGAAGGTTGAGTAAGCTGCCCAAGCCCACACAGACATTCCGTAGGGCAGGGTCAAGTCTGCCATGCAGATTTCCCCCTTCCTGATTCATGAAAAACAAATCTTCCTAAGAACTGGGACAGGGAATCTGCTGCCCACCCAGCAGGAGTCAATGTTTCTCAGAATTCCACCTTAGGCCCTTGCTTGTCTCTTTGCACATTCTTCCTAGAGCCTCTGAAACATTTAACAATTTCCACCACCATCTTTTTTTCTAACGAGTCAATAATGTATTTTATTATAGTTCTTTTTTTAATCCAAACCATCTTTATTCTGGTGGCTCTAAGATCTTTGCAACCAACCCACATCACCTGAGACCTAAGTCCCCATTTCTAATCAATGAACTGATAAATTCAAATGTATGTTAAACTTAGTACTATTCACCCAGGCCTCTCGAACCAGATTTTATTTTTATAAACCAAAATAGTACCAGCATCTTCCCAGCCAACCAAGACAAGAGCCAGAGAGTCACACTCTTCTTTCTCCCCTACTGTCCCACCAACCCCAGTCAGCCAATCAGTCAAGCCCTTTTGAATTTACCTCCTCAATACTTTTTTTTTTTTTTTTGACAGGCAGAGTGGACAGTGAGAGAGAGAGAGACAGAGAGAAAGGTCTTCCTTTTGCTGTTTGTTCACCCTCCAATGGCTGCCGCGGCTGCCACGCTGCAGCCGGCGCATCGCGCTGATCCGAAGCCAGGAGCCAGGTGCTTCTCCTGGTCTCCCATGCGGGTGCAGAGCCCAAGGACTTGGGCCATCCTCCACTGCACTCCCAGGACACAGCAGAGAGCTGGCCTGGAAGAGGGGCAACCAGGACAGAATCCGGCGCCCCAACCGGGACTAGAACCCGGTGTGCCAGCGCCACAAGGCGGAGGATAAGCCTATTGAGCCACGGGCCAGCCCCTCAATACTTCTCTTCTATCTTATCATCCCTCTGTCCCCTCATCCAGTCATTCAAAGGTACCTAACATCTGGCTCATTATTTAACAAAATTATGGAGGATTTCCAGTTGGATTTTAAGGTATACAGAAAGAAAAGGTTTATAAGTAAATTAATCTATTCTAACAGCATTAAATTCATTGAAAAACTTTCTTTCAAGTTAAAAATAGTGAAAGGGACTTACTTAAATGGTGTAAATAAAAATGGTAAAGTAACTTCTTTTTTCTGAGTCATTTTCACCTGGGAACCAAAAATAAAAATATTTCATTATATTGTAAATGAGAAAAAAATAATGAATTTTACTCTGAAATATAAAAATCAATTAAAATGGCTCTTCAGGGATGGCTAACTACTTTGAAAATAAATGCAATTTTGTGTTACTATATTGTTTCATAAATATTTAAAGAAAAATTTACCATTATTTTACTATTTCAATAAGCTGAGAATTAAGCATATCAATCCTGCAAAATAACAAACCATAATATAATTAAAACTGTACTTCCTTAACTCTTTGAAACAAAACAAGCCAAATTGCTTATTCTTAACCAAGTTAAGATAAAGTTTTAATCCAAGAGTCACTGTTTAGTCAGTTACTCCTTTAAGTTCTTAATGTATTTAATAACAAACATGGGAAGACAAGAAATGTTGGGATCTCTAATACTACTTCCACGGGGCAAATTCTCATCAATTAAAACTTGACCTATAGTCTATAAGGATATATGGTAATCTTACAATTAGGAACAGAATTCAAATGCAATTTTATATCTTTAATTCACTCAAGGAACCTACAACTCAGAAATACGATTTAAAAAAAAAAGATTAACATATTTGAAAGGCAGAATTAAAGAGAGAGAGAGAGATGGAGAGAGAGACAGAGATCTTCAACCCACTGGTTCACTCACTAAAAGGTCACAATGGCTGGGTGGGTCTGGGCCGAGAGAAAGCCAGGAGCCTGGAACTCCATCAGGGACTCCCATTGTGGGTGGCAGGGCCCTACATGCAGGCCATTCTCTGCTGCTTTCCCAGGTTCATTAGCAGGGAGCTGGGTCAGAACTGTAGTAGCCAGGACTCAAACTGGCGCAAATATGGAATGGGCATCTTAACCTGCTATGCTAAATCAGCCCAAGAAATATGAAATTTTATGATCCTGGTCAAATATCCAACACTTAAATACAATGAATTATAGAAAAGCATTAATTAAAAATCAAATATTTTCACTTAATATTTTTAATTTATAAATTATAGTACTTTCTGTGTGTTTCACCTTGAACTGTTCAAGAATCTGTACTGCATTTGTAAACATGCTCTCTGCTTTGAAGAGATCTGTGTTGTTAAGATAATCCACAGGAAGGATCCCCTGCAAATAATAACCACTGATTAGTATTAGTATTAACAAAGCTCGGGCTGTTATAAAACAAAGCAGACTTAAAATGGAAGCAATAAAGACATGGGCAAACAGATTATTAGAATTGTGAAATGAAGAATCTTTTTAAAAATTATAAATGAAAGATGTTCTATTACTTTTCTCACAAAGTAGATGTAATAAATAAAGCAAAAGAGATAATTAAATTCAATAAGATTTAAAAGTGCTTTATCAATTACTAAGTGCTAGGCAGTATATACTAAAGAACAATCATCATTGTGGAACATGACGAGTATGTTTAAAAAAATTAAAAAAGGCAGAATAAGACATATGAGAATGTACTGTACAAAGCAGAGTTAGGACTCTTGTGAATTTTTGTTTCCGTTATTAATATACACATACACTCATGATTGTTGGGGCTATATTACCGACTTCTGACTTAGATGACATTTTTAAAAGTAAGTTTTATTCCTAAAGAGCTAATTAAGAGTGGCTGGGATGGAGGTTTTTGTTTGTTTGTTTGTTTGTTTTTGGCCTGTTTGTTTTTTGGCATCTAGGCCCATTCTTAATGGCATTATTTTCTGCTGAGAAATCTTCCCACTGGATATAACACGCTGGATATGTAATCAGTGGGCCTGCCTTCCCTTAGCGAAGGGTAGACAAGTAACTCAGGTTAGGCCATCTGGACTCAATCTTGACTACTGAGAGTCAAGGGAAGAAAACTACCACAGGTACACATCCTACTCTACCCTAGTACTGGTGTCCTGAGAACAGCTCTGCCATGGGATTATGGTTGAGGTTGCTTTTTCCAAATCTCCAAAGCTCTCCTGGTTCCTGGTCATTTCTCCCCCCTCCCCAAGATTTATTTATTTATTTCTTTATTTGAAAGTCAGAGTTACACAGAGAGAGAAGGAGAGGCAGAGAAAGAGAGGTCTTCCATCCACTGGTTCACTCCCCAGTTGGCCGCAATGGCCGGAGCTGTGCCAATCCAAAGCCAGGAGCCAGGAGCTTCTTCTGGGTCTCCCTCAGGGGTGCAGGGGCCCAAGGACTTGGGCCATCTTCTACTGCTTTCGCAGGCCATAGCAGAGAGCTAGATAGGAAGTGGAGCAACCAGAACTCAAACCAGCACCCATATGGGATGCTGGCACTGCAGGCGGTGGCTTCACCCGCTACGCCACAGCGCCGGGTCCAGTTTTTGGTCATGTCTAAGCCTGGTTTTCAAGTACCCTTTTGATTCCAGAAACTACCAATATCCTTTCAGTAATTTCCTTTTTTTTTTTTTTTTTTTTGACAGGCAGAGTGGACAGTGAGAGAGAGAGAGACAGAGAGAAAGGTCTTCCTTTTTGCCGTTGGTTCACCCTCCAATGGCCGCTGCCGGCGGGCTGGGGCCGGCACACCGCGCTGATCCGATGGCAGGAGCCAGGTACTTCTCCTGGTCTCCCATGGGGTGCAGGGCCCAAGGACCTGGGCCATCCTCCACTGCACTCCCTGGCCACAGCAGAGAGCTGGCCTGGAAGAGGGGCAACCGGGACAGAATCTGGCACCCCAACCGGGACTAGAACCCGGTGTGCCGGCGCCATAAGGCGGAGAATTAGCCTAGTGAGCCACGGCGCCGGCCCAGTAATTTCCTCTTAATTAGATTTCCCCTTAATTAGATTTCTGTCTTGTAACCAAAAGTTATTTATATATATTCATCACTTAAAACTAAACTGCAGGGTCGGCGCCGCGGCTCACTAGGCTAATCCTCCGCCTAGCGGCGCTGGCACACCGAGTTCTAGTCCCGGTCGGGACGCCGGATTCTGTCCCGGTTGCCCCTCTTCCACGCCAGCTCTCTGCTGTGGCCCGGGAAGGCAGTGGAGGATGGCCCAAGTGCTTGGGCCCTGCACCCCATGGGAGACCAGGAAAAGCACCTGGCGCCTGGCTCCTGCCATCGGATCAGCACGGTGCGCCAGCTGCAGCGCGCCGGCCGCAGCGGCCATTGGAGAGTGAACCAACGGCAAAGGAAGACCTTTCTCTCTGTCTCTCTCTCTCACTGTCCACTCTCTGCCTGTCAAAAAAAAAAAAAAAACTAAACTGCAAAGATGCAAATCATATATATTTTAGAAAACAAAGTTTGAAGAAAAGTTATTTGGCTTGTGCTCCATGTCATAGATTATAATACAAATGCAAATATGAGGTATTACATATTTAGAAATACATAAAGTTTTAAATGTAACCAAAGATTATACAGAAACACATAAAAATGGTATATTTCAGTGTGCAGTTTTTTGTAAACACCGAGAAGCGATAACAAAATTTTATTCCTCACCACTGAATTAAGGGGAAAAGGAACTCCAATAAGGGAAGCCATCAATGGTGCAATATCAGCCTACAAACAAACAAAAAATATTCAATTCCAATTCCACAGATAGCAACAAAGAAATAATTTAATCAAAGCATATCTTAGAATATAATCATGATATTCATTATAATCAGTTACTCTCAAACATGAATTTAATATAGTTAAGATACTCATCTCTAAAAATATCATTTGCTGAAGGTATATGAACTTATAAAAAATAAATGTGAAAAGTAATCATGAAGAGTCTTAAATGTGAAACATACTAAAGCAAAAAATTTCTCATCCTATTAGCCAAGAACATGACCGTTTTCTGTAAGATTTTCAGTACTGTGCAAAAGGATGCTGCTATGGCTTTAATATTGTTTGTTCTCTCCAAAATTAATGTTGGAGTTTAATCTCCATTATGAGGTAGCAAGAGAGTAGCAACTGTATCTGACTATGGTATTTGGAGATGACAACTTTGGGTGGTAACTAAGAATAGATAAAGTCATCACAGTGGTGCCCCCATGACTGAATACTAGTGAATTTACATGAAGAGAAAGAGACCAGAGGACATACACACACATGCGCACTCCCTGTCTCTCCCCGGGTAATGCTGTCTCAGGACTCCACCAGGAAGTGGCTTCTCAATTTTCAACCAGAACTGAGAGCCAAAATAAGCCTTATTTCTTTATAATTCACCAAGTCTGTGGTATTGTGTTATTAACAAAAGAAAATAGACTGATATATACCTAAATAGAAAGAAAACACAAAGCAAACTGGAGAAAAGAAACTTTTAAATTAAAATATTCCAAATGCCATTTTGGTTCTGTCTCCTTCAAGTTTGGTTTCTCAGAAGAGTTTTGGGGCTAACACTGTGGCGCAGCGCGTAAAGCCGCTGCATATATTGCTGGCATCCCATATGGACACCAGTTCGAGACCCAGCTGCTCCACTTCTGATCCAGCTCTCTGCTATGGCCTGGGAAATTAGTAGAAGATGGCCCAAGTCTTTCGGCACCTGCACTGGCGTGGGAGACCCAGAAGAAGCTTCTGACTCTTGGCTTTGAATAGGCTCAGCTCGGGCTGTTGCGGCCATTTGGAGAGTGAATCAGCTGATGGAAGATGGATTTCTCTCTCTCTGCCTTTCAAATAAATAAATAAATAAATAAATCTTACCTTAAAAAAAAAGTCTCAGGAGACCCTTTTTCTCTTCATTTTGTCTTCTTCCCACCATTCCTCAGCCCATAGCAACTTGCTCTGACCTCTTATGATATCACAGGCTGCTCTCCCTACAATAACTAACAACCACCATTTTTCTCAATCTGACTATATTAGTCCTCATAACTCTCCAGGTGGTAAAGCGGTTGGGTGTCAGAATACCCAGTTTCCAGTCCTTGCTTGCAATCTCTGAGACCTTGGGCAGGTTCCTAATCTGTTTGCCATGGGCTGGATATGGTGTGTCCCCAAGGATTCATGGACTGCAATTTAATCCTCACTGTGAGGCATGAAGAGGGTGGAGACTTTATCAGACTACGGTGTTTTGAGGTGAGACCTTCAGGAGGTGATTAGCATTAGACAAGGTCATCAGAGAGAAGCTCCAGGACTGAATTGCTGAAGGCTTTGTAATGAGAGGGAGAGATCGGAAGGCAGGCTCACGCCTGCATTTTCCCTGTCTCTAGCCATGGGATGGCCTCACTGCCCTGAGACTTTGCTGACAGCAAAGACTTCATCAGATGGGGACCCTCAGCCTTGGAAGAGAACTGTGAGTCCAAATACCTCTTTGCTTTATAGTCAATCTCAGGTATTTCACTGTAGTAATGAAAAGCAGACTAACCATTCACCAGTGCCTCAGAGTTTCCTAACCAGTTAAAAATAAATAAATGCTTCCTTCTTGCACAATTCTGGCAGAACTAAATGAGACAAAACACAGCACCTGGCATAACAGGCTGCAGTAAATGGTAGCTGCCATGATCATAGTCATGGTTATTATTATTATTACCGGCCTTCTCAACTGTACTGGGAAGACCACGCCCTTCTTTATCTCTGTGAACACTATACTGCTCAATTCCCTTAATCTCACCAGCTGCCCTTTTCAGATATCTCTTCTAGTCCTCATTTATAATTGGAGTTTGTCAGGTTTGGTCCCAGGCTTTCAATTCTTGTCACCCATTACTGTCTGGACACTTTACTAAGTGCCATTCCCCAGAGCACTGGAAATCTCCCCAGTCCTCCTAATTGCCTTTGCCCCAGAATCCACCGTTGGTCTCTTTTAATCTGTTCTCCAAGCTGCAGCCAGAATTCATTCATAAAACACTAGGTCACATACTCTCCTGGGTTCAAGGGTTTCCCGAGCATTTAGGATTAAGTCCACGAGGCTCATAAGGGCCTGCGAGTCTGTGTCCCCTTTCTTCTTCCCTCACAGCACACCATGGTCCCTGCGGCTCTGCGCACCATCTGTCTACATTTTAGTAGGCCATGCATCCTCTTTACCAGAGCTCCTTATACACTCCCTCTGCCTGGAACCTTTTCCTCCTTACTGTCTTGTCCTCATAATTCCTGCTTTTTCTTTGATTTCAGCGCAATCCTCAATCTCTCCTTAGTAAAGTTTTATAGACCACAGAGTCTACCAGGTGTATGCATTCAATGCTCTCACAAGCCTCTCTGTAGTTGTCACAGCTGTAATTTTACATGTATTTTAATAGTTTAATTAGTATCTGTTCTTGCCTTTATAAAATATAAGCTTCCTCTATTTTTAGTTAGCTTCATATCCTTCATGCTTAGTACAAAATGTACATACACTGCAAACACATAACAGTGTTCACAGAAGGAATGAATAAAAAGATCTTTATCTAATGTGAATCTGAAGCAGAAGTATTGGCCAACTGACTGTCAGTATTCTGGACAATAATCAAATCTGTATCCAGTTTCCAAATACGATCTAATCTGTCTATGATCCAATCTAGCTATAAGTAAAAGATGTTCTTATGTTGTGGTTTTCAAATCTTTCCTGTCCCTTTGACAGTGACCTTTAAAAAATTGTAAAATAATAAACCGCTATTCTGATTTTATACATTTTCATTTACTCCATCCTGAGAGAAGCGATTATCTAAAAATGCTGAGAAAAACACATGTTTCAGCAACTTCAGGCTCAAAAGGTAGAAGCCAGATGTTGGTTTCTCTACCACAGGAAGGAACATTCATCAGCTTATAAGGTGATCTGGAAGGCAAGATACTCCTGGCACTGTGGGAGCCACATTCCAGTGATGTCATGTCTACAAACAGTGAAGGTAGCTGCTTCAGTGGCATATCTCTAACAATGACAACTCTGTGCTTCACAGCTAGTAATACTATTAGCATAATGTTATTAGGCAGCCATACATTTTCCTTTAACAGGATTCTAACTGAATAATTTGTATTCTCAGATTTTCGCCATTGTATTTGTAGAATTAAAAGTGAAATATGTGTTAATAAAAGAGAAACTAACTGATATACCACAAGAAAGAAACTCACAACAGTTTTATTAAATCTGTGCTTAAAGTGAACAATGTTAACTGTTATAAGAAATCACAGAAAGTAAACAGGCAAGCAAATTTCAACTTATATAACAGTTCATCATCCAGTTCTATTTAGAGAGACTTTTCTTTTATTTCCCTTTAGTTATTTATTTGAGAGCAACAGGTACAGACAAAGAAGGATAAAGACTCAGAGAAAGAGATCTCCCATCTGCTCATTCACTCCCCAAATGCCAACAACTGGGTCAGGCCAAAGCCAGGAGCTGGGAACTCAATCTGGGTCTCCCACGTGGATGACAGAAAATCAGTGATTTGAACAATCACTGCTGCCTCTCAGGGTGCACACTAGCAGGAAGCTAGAGTCAGGAGTCAAAGCCATACATTGAACACCAGCACACCAATACTGGACACAGTTGTCTCAACCAGTATTTTAAATGCTAAGCTAAACTAAACACCTACCTAGTTGTTGTTAGTTTTGCTAAACGATATTAGCTGGACTAAAATATTTATACTATAAGAATTTTCCTTAGCAACTGAAAACATTTTTAAAAATATCTAACATTATTACTGCTAATATACTTAGTTTATATAATAGGAGGTAAAATTAATTTGAATATGATTAAGTTGAAATAAATACCTGATTTATATCTTGCCTCTTCCAATTCTCCAATCTCCATTCTGAAAGACATAATCAGAAACAGGGTCTTAATATTTATAAAAGAGGAGCCAGCACTGTGGCACAGTAGGCTAAGCCTCCCCCTGTGGCACCGGCATCCCACATGGGCAGCAGTTCTTGTCCCGGCTGCTCCTCTTCCGATCCAGTTCTCTGCTTATGGCCCAAGTGTTTGGGCCCCTGCACCTGTGTGGGAGACCTGAAAGAAGGTCCTGGCTCCTGGCTTTGGATCAGCTCAGCTCCAGCCATTGCAGCCATTTGGGGAGAGAATCAGTGGAGGAAAGACCTTTCTGTATCTGTCCCTCTTTGTCTGTAACTCTACCTCTTAAATAAATAAATAAAAATCTAAAAAAAAAAAAAGATTTATAAAAGGATAAATCATTTGATTTTTAGGACTGGTCAATATTTCATGGAAATACTGGAAGTACTGGAAACATCTCTCTCTTTTTAAAAAAGATTTATTTAAAGTCAGAGCAACTAAAGAAGGAGAGAGAGAGAGAGAACCTTTCATCACTAGTTTACTCCCTAGATGGCCTCAGTGGTCAGGTCCAGGCCAGACTTAAGCCAGGAGCCAGGAACTCCACCCTGGTCTCCCATATGGGTGGCAAGGGTCCAAGCACTGGGGGAATCATCTGCTCGCTGCCTTCCCAGGAGCATCAGGAGGAAGCTGGGCCTGAAGTGGGGCATCTGTACTTGAATCAGGACTCCAACAGGAGATGCTGGCACCGTACGCAACTGCTCAACACACTGAGCCACACTGCAGATGCCTGGAAGCAGCTCTTTTATATCAAGTGTGAACAGCAAGGTACTTTAAAAAGGCAGAGAAACTTTTTTTTTTTTTTTCAAAAAAGAATTTTAAAAGAATCAAAAGGAAATAATTGTTTTCTGTGATGATTTATTAAGCTTTTCCCATGCACATTTGGACATAACTGTTTGAAACCATCAAAGGCTAAGGAAGGAAAGATGGAGTAAAAAGGCATACTGATGCTTTTCACCAAGATGGCGCCAAAGGCGAAGAAGGAAGCTCCTGCCCCCTCCTAAAGTCAAAGCCAAAGCGAAGGCCTTGAAGGCCAAGAAGGCAGTGCTGAAAGGCGTCCACAGCCACAAGAAGAAGAAGATCCGCACGTCCCCCACCTTCCGGCGGCCCAAGACACTACGCCTCCGACGGCAGCCTAAATACCCTCGGAAGAGCGCCCCCAGGAGAAACAAGCTTGACCACTATGCCATCATCAAGATCCCCCTGACCACGGAGTCGGCCATGAAGAAGATAGAAGACAACAATACACTGGTGTTCATTGTGGATGTCAAGGCCAACAAGCACCAGATCAAACAAGCTGTGAAGAAACTCTATGACATTGATGTGGCCAAAGTCAACACCCTGATCAGACCTGACGGAGAGAAGAAGGCGTATGTGCGGCTGGCTCCGGACTATGATGCTCTGGACGTTGCCAACAAAATTGGGATCATCTGAACGGAGTCCAGCTGGCTAATTCTAAATATATGTTTTTTCACCATTAAAAAAACAAAAAGGCATACTGATAACAACAGTTAGCATGACTACTACTCAATACAGTCATGTTCCACAGTCACTAATGCAACTGACAACAAGAACATCAATCCAAAGCTCTCTTTTTTGATGGCAGTTACTTGCAAACTACTTAAAATTACAGCTGTGACACACCTACAGTCACGAAACTCAATTGTTAAAGTAGTATATTGAGTTTCTACTAAAACTTCCTCAAAGATAGTGTCATTCTTTTCTCTCTAGATATAAATTCAGAAATGTCCATAAGCAGTATTGAAAACAAGTGATTATCTGAGACTATGTCTTGATTTAACAGTTTCAGGATATATTACCAAAAGTTTAAAGATATATTCTAGCATCGACTAGTCAGTTGCCAAAAATCAGCACTAATCACCTAATAAGGAAAAACTGCACAAACCCTTTCTCTGTGAGTTGACATTTAATATCACAAGAGAAAATACCTTCCTTCTGTAATGATTCTTACAGCCATATGATTTTAAAACATCAATTTGCTAAGAAATCAAATGCCAAATCAAGTTATATCCCCAAGGAAAAAACATGCTATTTATTCTAGCTTCTATTTAAACTCAGCCTAGTTCATTTATTACAGACAAACAGAAGGGTAGCTCCTACAGCAAACTGGAATCTTCATAGCGATCTGTTCAACACCATTTAAAGATGTGGCCCTACCAGTCCACTCCCAAATAGCACTCGTTTGTGATGTGGGAAGCCAGGGAATTGGGCAAACAGCTGCTGTGACAGAAGCCAGATTGTGAAGAGTCCTGTCAGCTCTACAAAGAGCTGGCCACTGGAAACAGAACTGCCCTGGGACTGAAGAACTCCCAGGTCAGAGCTCCAGACCCTGCTGGCTCTCCTTATGCTGAAAAAGGCCTTCACTATCCCCAGCTTCCACAGTAACCACCACTATTGAGGAAGATGGCCTCGGATCATTAAAGTTGCAGGCAGAACTGTAAATTTCCTTTTAAAGATGCTGCCTAGTCTATAATAACCTCCTATTCAGGTCAGCTCTCCTCCCAGGTCAGCCAGGTAACGGGAGCCAACATGGTGTCTTCCCAAAGGAGGTTCACATCTCCCTTATGGTGTCTCCTCCAGTACCCCATGTGAAGAGATAGGTTTGGGCCTCACATACCTGGCCAGGACTTAACACCCACCTGATTATTATCAAGCTCTTCCTGTCAGTATCTATTTGCCTCTCAATGAGAAAACTACCTCCTGGTTTGGAGAGTGCCTTTCTTAGGTCCTCTCATAATAATAATAATCCAGCCTTTGTTTTGGATCCTGTGGACTTAATCTGCTTGTTAGATCTGTTCCTCCAGACTTGAAGCAATGAAATTCTAGCTGACCATGCACACAAAATCTCAGATGAAAAGTTTCTGCACACTGGCACTGTGACCCCCCTCCAGAGGACACCTCGTGCTGGAACCTGTCTTGACAGCAGGTCCCCACTTTGCCCCTACTCAGCTTGAAGAATCCAGAGTGGTCATCGCCCTAACACCTGACAGCAGCCAGGGTTTCCATAAGCAGAGAGAGGGACTGATGGAGCAGGAAGCCTGGGACTGGCTCCATCCTACAGCTCCTTGCAGGCATGTACACACTAAACAAAACCAGAGTGTTCTTTCGCTGTGGCAATCAGGCATACATCTGTCTTCCCACTAACTGGACAGGGACTTGTACTCTTGCTTTCCTATTTCCCCCTTTTCCATCCATCTAACCCACTGTATCAAGAGGGATTTTGGATTCACCCCTTGCTAATCTCATTAGGTGCCCTAACAGGAATTAGGACAGGGGCGGACAGATTGGCAATTTCAGCAGACAAGGCAAATAAAGACTTAGCCCTCACTCAGAAGACAGAAACGATGTAGAACCGCAACTGCCCCATCTCTAGGATCAGGAGGATTCACTGGCGGCAATGATCTTCCACAACTGCTGAAAGAAGAGGACTTTGACCCTGTTTGGGTGAAAAGTGCTGCTTTTACACCAATAAGTTGGGTGTGGTAAGACAACGGATTAACTGCATTAAAAAAAAAGTGAATGAAATCTATTCCTAAAATGCCCCACCTCACTTTATTTTCTGCCATGGGAAGTTTCTCTAACATTTCCTTTTATCCTCACAATCATAGTGCTTCTATTCCTACCATGCATAATTAACACATTTTAAAAGTTCTTACAGGAACGAGTGACTGCTATATCCTAAGCCATCACACAGGAATACTGAAGACTGCTCTTCTTCAATCAATCCAATCCAGAGAATAGATACCCCTCCCAGCATCAATGCCACGGTATCAGCGGGAAGTAGCCAGAAAGTAACCGGCTCCCTAGCCTGTGCATTCCTAGGGCTCAGTCCCACGCTCTGTATTCTTCTCCACCTCACCCTCTGCATTTTTTCCAACTAACCAGCCTGCAGAGATTGAAAACTCCTTGAAATACTAGCTACACTCTACCCACTCTCATGGCCCTTATCTGGCCTATGCTATATAAACCCAGCCCATAACTACATTTTGCTTTCTGCCACACGCTTGCTCTGGGTGCATACTGGCAGTTAGCTATCTCTGCAACGCTCTTTTCCCTTGAATAAATTCATTCTGGCTGTGAGTTTATATCCTGTCTCCTCTCTGTTCTGTCCCCCTTTTCTTTTTACTGAGGAAGTACTTGTGTAATTGATCAGTCTTAGATCTATTCTGATCTACTGTCTAATGTGCTTAAAGGTACAACCACAGCCATCTGCTTCTTCTTCCTATCTCTCAAATGCCACTTTATTCACTTTTAGGATACATTTAAATAACATACCAAACACTGAAATGTGCATTGATATTTGTTATTTTTTTTTATTTTTTTTATTTTTTTATTTTTTGACAGGCAGAGTGGACAGTGAGAGAGAGAGACAGAGAGAAAGGTCTTCCTTTGCCGTTGGTTCACTCTCCAATGGCCGCTGCGGCCGGCGCGCTGCGGCCGGTGCACCGCGCTGATCCGATGGCAGGAGCCAGGAGCCAGGTGCTTTTCCTGGTCTCCCATGGGGTGCAGAGCCCAAGCACCTGGGCCATCCTCCACTGCACTCCCTGGCCACAGCAGAGAGCTGGCCTGGAAGAGGGGCAACTGGGACAGAATCCGGCGCCCCAACCGGGACTAGAAACCGGTGTGCCGGCGCCGCTAGGCGGAGGATTAGCCTAGTGAGCCGCGGCGCCGGCCAGATATTTGTTATTCTGATGTATTTAGTGAGCTTTATAAATGGTAGAGTTTTTCTTGTTGAGTGTAATGTAATATTATAAATCAACTTACTGAAGTCTATATTCTGACATAGAAGATGAGAATTTGTATTAAGAAACATTCATACCGACGCCACAGCTCAATAGGCTAATCCTCCACCTAGCGGCGCCGGCACACCGAGTTCTAGTCCCGGTCGGGGCGCTGGATTCTTTCCCGGTTGCCCCTCTTCCAGGCCAGCTCTCTGCTGTGGCCAGGGAGTGCAGTGGAGGATGGCTCAAGTGCTTGGCCCTACACCCCATGGGAGACCAGAAGCACCTGGCTCCTGCCTTCGGATCAGCGCGGTGCACCGGCTGCAGCGCGCCAGCCGTGGCGGTCATTGGAGGGTGAACCAACGGCAAAAAGGAAGACCTTTCTCTCTCTCTCTCACTATCCACTCTGCCTGTCAATAAATAAATAAATAAATAAATAGAAACATTCATGCATGAAGAGTTCCATTTTTTTTTTTTCTTTTTTGACAGGCAGAGTTAGACAGTGAGAGAGAGAGAGACAGAGAGAAAGGTCTTCCTGCCGTTGGTTCACCCCCCAAATGTCCACTAAGGCAGCCGTGCTGCACCAATCCAAAGCCAGGAGCCAGGTGCTTCCTCCTGGCCTCCCAGGTGGGTACAGAGCCCAAGTACTTGGGCCATCCTCCACTGCCTTCCCAGGCCACAGCAGAGAGCTAGACTGGAAGAGGAGCAACCGGGACAGAACCGGTGCCCCAACTGGAACTAGAACCCGCAGTACCGGCGCCGCAGGTGGAGGATTAGCCTAGTGAGCCATGGTACCAGCCTCCATTTTTCTGAGAAAAAATATTTATTTTGCAATCTCCTTTATGAGGTACTAAGCTTTTGTACCAACTTGCAATTTAATTTTTAGTTCTTGCTAAGGCTTGACAACTAAACTCACAAAAGGAAAAAAAAAAAAAAAGATGTGGCCCTACACTCAGAATTCAATTTATATTCATAACCATGGTCTCAGCTGTCTCACATGATCTATCTTTGGCTTACCTCTCCCACCCCTCAGCTCACTGCACCCTCCTCCCAGTTGACCAGTGCTCATGTCGTATCAGCCCTCCTTCTGGTCCTCAAATGAGCTAAGCCTGTTCCCTTTTATGCCTCTGCATTTGCTACTCCCTCTGCCTGGATCACCCTTGCCCTCATCTTCCACTTTAATGGCTTCCACTTATCCTCACTGTGAACAGACATACCACTGGCCCACTGTACAAATATTACTTTACTCATAAAGGATACTTCTGGGATACTGCAAATGTTGTACATGTGAATCTAGGTGGTGATTACACACACACATGGAAGATTTAAGATTAATAGATTTTATTCACTTCATTAAATACCTCAATAAAAACTTCAGGGGCAAAGAGAAGGAGCCCAGTCCCAACTTTTCTTATCTATTTACTTTGTTTCTTCATAGCATTTATCATAATATGCAGTTTTATTTACTACTATTTCAAATCTTCTACTACTGTGTTAAGTTAAGCTGAAAGTAAGGACTATCCCAAAATACATGTAGTAGATGAAAAAAGAGTACTCTAGATTCACTTCATTTTATGCTCCAATAAATCTGGAAATATGATGGCAGTGTATCAGCCGCATTATCCTGGCCCTTTGTTAAATGCTTCCTCTGTACAACTGTGACGTGGCATGATGCTCCCTGCCACCACTGCCAAACATGAAAGGAACAACACTCCAAAAAACACATTGCTTACTACAGACATGTTGTTGAGAACAGTACTCACCGTGCTCTTTGTCTTCATTAGGGCCCAGGGAAAAAATATCTCAGCACTACATCTATCTTTTAATTTAATGGACTGATCTTGTAAACACTGTGAGACTATTTTTGATTAGGATTGAGCTGGAAAACAGCAATCAAACTTACGATTTACCTTCAAGAACTCTTACATTTCTTACCTATTTTATCTTAACTTATTCTACCTCACATTCAAATAAATTAATAATTTAATAGAACAAGATAAAAAATTTAGTTTACCACTTTAGAAAGGTCCAAAACAAGAGTTGCTGGCAGTGATATGCTGGGAAATACTTAACAAATGACTCTATGAGAAAAAGCAAACTAATAACTCTTTAATTTTCAGCATTTGCATAGAAATAATAGCAATTCAATCATCAAAAATGAGGGATTTAAAACCATAATTTGAAAACTGATTTTTCTAAATTAAAATTTTTATTTTGGATTTATTTTAAAAATTTAAATAAAAATATATAAGAAAAATGTATTTTGGTTTTATATGTATAAAAACAACAGAGGTAAATGTTTATACCTTTCAAAAATGCATCATCAAATTGCTGAGCAGACACTTTTTGGGCATACTTGATGCCAGCTCCCCAGGTGACTAACGGAGTTAACGTCTCTGAAGGATGACCAGCCCCATGGAAACCTACAAATAAGATACCAAGAGTTCTAAGACAAGTGTGAAAGAACTACATTACAGCTAAATTTTTTTGATACTTGCTTTTAAAGAGTTGATCCATTTATGGCAAATTCTAGCCAGAACATTTCCAAATGCTTGCAAATTTTTATAACAACTAGCTTGAGCCAGAAACAAACAAAGCTAAAACAAAAATACCATAATGTCAATTGAATGACTCTGGTTCAAAGAACTATAAGACAGAGAAGATACCACCAATGCCAGAGTAGCAGCAATGAACAAAAAACTTGGGAGAGCTCCTTAGGAGAAACTTCCCATGCTTGGGGCAAATGGCGCAGGCCAGGTCAGGTATGGCGAGGACAGCAAAGTCTCTGGATCCTTTTCTTCAAGGCCACTCTTGTTGATGTAGCTAAACGAAGCCCTTTATAAAGTGGAACCCAGGGGACCAGCGCAGTAGCGTAGCGGGTAAAGCCACTGTCTGCAGTGCCATCATCCCATATGGGCGCCAGTTCAAGTCCCAACTGTTCCACTTAAAATCCAGCTCTCTGCTATGGCCTGAGAAATGAATATTAGGTGGCCCAAGTCCATGGACCCCTGCATCCGAGTGGGAGACCTGGAAGAAGCTCCTGGCTCCAGATTGGTATAGCTCCGGCCACTGCAGCCAACTGGGGAGTGAACCAGCAGATGGAAGACCTCTCTTTCTGCCTCCCCTTCTCTCTCTCTCTGTAACTCTAACTTTCAAGTAAATAAATAAATCTTTAAAAAAAAAAAAAAAAAAAGTGGAACCTACCTCACTACAATTCCATTTTGCAATGTGGAGACCCAAATCTTATCTTTCCCCTATGTTGTTCTCTGTGTACACATTGTGTTTGACTTGCGAATCTCAGAGGGAGCACAGATTTATCTAGGATAGATTTTCAGTAATCTCAGGTCCCTCAGCAATACCATATTGGCATCACTAACTTTGCCATCATGGACAATAAATTCTAGGTATATAAATAATAGTTATTTAAAATTTTCCTTTCCACACATTTTTCTACTCCCTCATTTGTAAATGAGAATATATTTTTATAGCTATAAATTTTTTTATGTAACATCAGTCTTTTTACACTAACATTTTAAACACTTAAAGATTCTGTGTTAGATACTTTGCATATAATCAAATCCTCTCAACATTATAAGATTAGGGCCAGGGGCAGGTGCTGTGCGCAGCGCCTGCAGGGCTGACATCCCATATGTGCGCCAGTTCGAATCCTGGCTGCTCCACTTCCAATCCAGCTATTCTATAGCCTGGAAAGCAGTAGAAGATTTATCTCCCTGAGATTCACAACGCAAACACAATGTGTACACAGAGAACAACATAAGGGAAAGAATGGGTCTCCACATTGCAAAATGGAAATGTAGTAAGCTGGGTTCTACTTTATATTTTTATTTATTTATTTATTTTTTACAGGCAGAGTGGACAGTGAGAGAGAGAGACAGAGAGAAAAGTTTTCCTTTGCAGTTGGTTCACCCTCCAATGGCCACCGCGGCCGGCGCACCGCACTGATCTGATGGCAGGAGCCAGGTGCTTCCCCTGGTCTCCCATGGGGTGCAGGGCCCCAGGACTAGGGGCCATCCTCCACTGCCCTCCTGGGCCCACAGCAGAGAGCTGGGCCTGGATAGAGGAGCAACTGGGGACAGAATCCCGCGTCCCAACCCGGGACTAGAACCCCGGTGTGCTGGCGGCCGCAAGGCGGAGGATTAGCCTAGTGGAGCCGGCAGCACCGGGCCCTGGTTCTAACTATATAAAAGGGCTTCGTGGCGCTAGGGCAATGCTTCACCTTGGTTAAATCCCTGCGC